CCTCCCCAGCCCCTGCTCGCTGTGTCCCGCAGGGGCATAATGTTTATCCTTTGGAAGAGTGGCGAGAGGCTCAGGCCCAGAGAGGAGCCGGGCACAGTCTCTGTGGTGGAGGAAAGAGGCCATTAAAGGCGGCTTTACCAGGCCTATAACCATGGTTGTTTTACAGGAGCGAGGAACTACCTCTTCAGTGGTGCATTTTAGTTTGACTTAAAACTAAAAACTGCTTTCCTACCCCCCGCCCCTACTTTTTTTTTTTTTTAAGGTAGCCTGCCTGGACTGTTACCTGAGGTATTAAAAGAAATACAAGAATCTGAAGTGACTTGACTTTGCCAAGACAGCTAGTTGGGCAGAAAAAGGGCAGAAAAAGAGGATTTCCTAGACCCCTAAAAAGCTGTTAAAGTGATTTTTTTTTCCCACCTCTTCTAGCTTCAGTTTAACCATTTATAAATGAATCATTTTCAAGCATGAAATCCAGGCTTTTAACTTCCTATAATTCGACCCTATACCCTGTTTCACATTCTCTTTCATTGCTTAAATCACGGAACCGGAGCCCATGGTTATCTTTCCTGGGCGTATAAAATGGCCAGTTGAGCTACCGTTGATGTGCCCAGCGACTTGCAGGGGAAGCCCTCGCACCTTTCCACCCTGCGTCTCGCACTCCATTAGAGCCTTTCAGAGCAGCAAAGCCTTTTTTTTTTTCACTGTAGAGAATCAACACTTAAACTCGAACCTTGTCCAGTAACAAGGGGCTTGGAATCAAGTGAGCATGAGCGGAAAAAGCAGAGCATTACAAGAAATATGAATACAGGGGGAAAGGGAAGGGATCAGAGAACCAAAAAAAGCCTTCCTTGAAATCTGATTCTTGCTTAGAAGCTACAATGCCTACAGAAAATGTCTTGGTGTAGCAGCTGGCTGCTCAGAGGTGTCATCCTCATCCTAACTGGTCACTGCATACTGTCTTTTCTATATCCAAGAAGGATGTGAACAGACTAAAAAGTTCTGATTACAACTTCTCTCATCCAACAGCATTTCTTGTCTATCGCAGTGGTCCCAGTGCTTTTAGGGGGCATGTTACCCAAAGGCCATTTTTAAACAAAGTAGTTTTCTTCAAAATGTTACGCAGTTTGTCATAGATCAGAGAAGGCTTCACCAGTTCTAGCTTTTGTCTTTCTCTCTTTTGTACTTAACCTTATATTTGTAACTAAAGTTTTAATCCTTTCCAAGGGTTGCCAGACCAGGTTAAGACTGAGATTGGGATCTCTTCAATATAGCTGCTTAAAGATCAGTTTGTTTCTTTGGTAACCAATCTCCTCCCACTGGCTTTCACAAACCCTAATATTAGCCTTTGCCCAGCTGGCAAATCCATTCATAAGATGCTTGAATGAGGCAGGCTTGGCTATTTCTACCCAAGAGATTAAAATCTTCTGTCAGACCAAGGAACTGTCATATCTGAAGAGATCTCACAATAAAGCACAGTATCAGCAGCATTATTTCCAACGAGCCAAATAACCTTTTCCTTTAATCTCTGTGATGGCAATTTAAAAGAACAGATCTAAGTGCTAGTTCATTCTGCCTTGGGGGTGCTGTTTCTTGGTGTGCTGGAGAACACAGTGCTGTGAGAAAAATCAACATTTCAGTTTGAATTAGCAAAGCATTATTTGAAATAACAAAGCAGTAACAATAGATACAAGGAAAGAGGAGAAGTGGGAGGATGAGGAAGGAAATGGAAAGATGATTGGGAAAGTCTTTCTTTTGTCTTAACTGACTAATATTTGGTATGAGGATCTAAGTTACTTACAAAAGTAATGCCTCTGCTGTTCTATACCTTCTTCTTCAAAGATTTCAATTATTATCTTCTGGTGGAAAGGAACTGAAAAGAAATACACAGTTGAGGTCCTTCATGAGTTTGGAACCTGAGCATTTTGATTTCAGAAATGCACTTCCTAATGGCTTTACTATCAGTCATTTTTTTCTGACAGTGAGGTTGAGTCATGAGACTAACATAGGGATCGACTGTTTTCTTTGAAACCATCGCCCTCTGGAGGGAATACGAAAAATCACAGAAGGATTAAGTAGAAATTCCCTTCTATATCACTGCATAACTTAATTTATGTTTTAGAGTCCAGGACTGATGCAAAAGTGAACGCGAAGTCGGCAGAACCAGAGTGGCGGCGAAGCTCTTGTCAGCAAAGGCTGGAGGAGAACGAATCCCCCCATCTTTCTGCCCTCTCTTGCCCTTTATCTCTAAACTCTTTATCTCTAAGCTCACTGGACATGCATTCTACAGCAGATGTACTTTCTCTTCCAACTTCATCTTGGATCCCATCCAAACTGGTGTCATCTCCCTTGTTTGCCAAAATAGTTTTAATGCAATCTCTAAAGAATTCCTGCCTACCTGATGTCAGGGTCTGTACTCCATACTCTTTCTTGACCTTTCTGATTTTTTTTCATTATCTTCATTACCCTTTCCCTTTTGATCTTTTATTCTTGCACAATTTTGAGAAACTGTGTTCTTTTTTTCTCTCTAATTTGAGAGAAGAGCTTCTCGTGGATTTTTTTCTCTGCCATGTCAACGTCCCAATTAACTGAGTCTTAATGAAAGCAAGCTTCTGCTTTCTCAGACTTCTGCCTATCCTCTCTATATTACATGAAAATGTTCCACAGAGGCCTGTCCAATTTCATTTACAACAATCTCCTGGTCACAGATCTAGCAATCAGTTTAACCCTGAGCATGTAAGCAGGACACGTCGGCTAGTGCACATGCAGAACCAGCTCCGTCCAGTATTTAGTGTTTCAAAGAAGAGTGGAGAAGCTAAATAATGTATAAGTAAGAAATAAGCATCTCTCTTGGTCCCCAAAATCCAGCAGCAGAAACCCTGAAATTTGAAATTAGTAATCAAACTTCATTTCAGCCTTCCTTGAACTAGCACAACAAATATGAAGGACTCAGGATGGTCATGTTTTCCCTCCTTAAGCACCTAGAACTGTCCTTTACTTTCCATCCAGTTACCCCTTTTCTCATTTATATTCAGCTGGTTGGCTGAAACATCTTCTCCTTTGGCTTTCGTTATGCTCTGTCTCACTTTGCACAGCTCCAAGGAAGGTCACAGGGTTTACAAATCGGTTCATAAGCCCAGCAGAAGTTCAATTGTAGAAAAAGTCTTCAGAAGAGAGATCTCGAGTTTGAAGGAATTACTTAGCTCTCAATTAGGGGTCTTAAGCCCAGAAAGAGAGATTTTTTTTTCCTGAAAATAAGTGCCCAAAAATGGAGCTGGAAGTGGGAATGCTGATGGCAGAGTATGGAGAATTGTGTTTAGCCCGAAAAAGAGATGGGTAATAAAAATAATCTTTCTTGCCTGGCAAATTTATCTGATAGCCTGGCAATCTGTGAACTTTTCCATTGTTCCCCTATTTATATCCAAATTAGTGATTACCCTGGTCAGTCTGGTGCTTTTTGTACTTCCTTGCCCTGTTGTTCTTCCTTCTCTGTGCACCTTATTCCGTTTATATTCCCTGCCCCTCTGTCTTTTCGATACTGTTTCTGAATCCTGTGTGTGTGCCTTCCTCTGTGCAACTCTCTCTTTGTGGTTTGATCTTGAACAAGTTTATGAAGCTCTAACATAGGTAGTTAGTCTCTCTAGAAAACAATCTCATGCTTTGTTATTTGTTGCAATTATTAATTCGTATCTGTACCCATTCTTGACTTGCTGTTTTGGGGCTGGATGTGTCTTCAGCCTGAAGTCAAGACAACCTTTTATTTGGATTTCAGACCAAGCCAGCATACTGTCGACTTGCAGATACTTTTTACTGGCTTTACTTGACAATCTACTTGCTTTGTTTTTGAAATGTATGTAAATGTGTTTGTAAATGAATACAGACATATGAAATAACTCACAGATCTGTGACAAAACAGGGGAAGAACCGGCAGGAGGAATTTTAAGAGTTGGTACCATGTACGTAAAATACTTACATGGTAAATCCTAATGAAATTAGATATTTGTGGTTTTTAAATTCTCTTCAGGTATGATAATCTTTCCTGAAAAACAGCTTAGGAGTGGTAATTATGTTAATGATGATACCTCCTATCTGATGATGTTGCCCTGTAAAGCTTATGCTTTACATATTTATCAGTCAAAAGTATGCTAAAAGTAAAGTATATTGTTTGCATATTTTATTAAAGAAGTATTAAATTTTATCATGGAAAGCAAATTAGATGTACAGTGAGACATCCATAAGACACTGTAAGCTACTGTAAGACATGTAAACAACACTATAATTCTTATTCCCTTTTTCTAAATCTTCACTGAGATAATCTTGCACATTGATTTTTTTATTACTTTTGCTTTGATGTAGTTTTTCAGCTAGTGCATCTCTGTTACAATATCACAAAAAGATTTACTGCTATTCTCTGCGCTGCCTCTGCTCAAGTTTTTCTTGTTTGTTTTTGTGTAATGTCTCTTTCAGCATTATCAGAGCTGTGCAATATGGTCTTGTAAGGTGGCAGTACAATTACTACTCTCTGCTTTGAGCACCAACAAACACATTTCTAAATAAATTTCTCTTTGCAAGTATGACTTGCTTTTTTTTCTGAGATATGCCCAATCTTTCTCTTTCTATTTAAAACTGAA